TGGCATATTAAACATAATGTGTCCAACTCTCAACTCTAGTTTTCTGCCCATTGAAAACTACATGTTCCTCTCCTCCGTGTCTCAGGAAATGGCAATTCCTATCTTCCAGTTCATCAGGTCTAAAGTCTAAGAATCATCCTTCCTTGACTTTCTTTCCCTCATACTCCACACCCAGTCTTTCAGCAAGTACTGACAACTCACTATCAAAATATTTTTAAGAGAGTATTTTAAGGAAGAAAGAAAACAAGAAAGAAAGGGCTAATCTAAGAATCCTTTTTGAGTTGACCATCACTCTAAGAAACTGTTTGGGACATTCTGAGAAGCTTTATAGAGTGTAACTGAGACCCTTCTGCCCAGGGAAAGAAAGGAAGAAACAGTTATCCATTGGCTCTTATCCTCCCTTCCTGGTGGCTCATGTGTCAGTGTTGAGCCCATTCCTATTGGTGTCCCAAGCCAGGAAGGCATCAGGGAAGCCTGGAGAAGGAAGCAGCCTCTACATCAGAAGCTGGAATAAGAAGTGAGTCTGAGAGGATTTCAAGTGGTGTATGAAAGGTATTTGCCACAACTCTCAGAACAGTCCATGAGCATCTCTTCCCAACTCGCATATTCAGTGATGTAACATTGGTAGCTTGAAATTGGCTACTTCAGAGTATTTACACCATGGAAACTGGCAAAGCTATAAATCAGGCTTCCTCCCTCTTGCCCACCATACCCAGTTATTAAACATTCGCTAGCACCGCACTGACTATAAGTTCCGTTTTTCAGAGAGCTACAGTTTACCCCTCTCCTGCTCCCTCTCAGAACTGCAGCCACATTAGTTCTTTTTGTACTTCTTTGAAATCACTTCTGTGCTTCCCTCCTTTGGGCCATTGCAGATGGTTTTCCCATGGCCTAGAACTCCAAGCAGGAATTACTTCTTGACTGAGTAATTTCTCTACATCTTTCATAGCTTACAATTGTCATTGCCTCTGGAAAGCCTTTGCTGACCCCCAGTCCAGGTCCCATTCATTTGCCAACTACTTTTAACTGCATATAAGTGATTATTTAATTGATACCTGTTTCTCCAGCTAGACTGCAAATTCTATAAGGGAGCAAGTCATCACCATTTTTCTCACTTTTGCATTCCACATACTGAGTTTGTACATTTACTGAATATCTCAACAAAAATTTTTCAATCAACAGTTATTAAAAGCACTTTTACCATTCTCCCATGGGTGGAATTGCAATTGTTTTAAGAGTATTAGAAGAGTCCTTAAACTTGAAAATGGGGGCGGGGGACCATGTTGAGAGGAGAACACAAGACATTTTTTGAATGGGCATCACTGCCACCTATAATCCATTGATATAAACCCCCAGTCACATAGCTCTACCTAACTGTGAGGGACATGAGAAAGGTACGTTAGCCAAGTGCCCAAGAAGAAAGGATATAGTAATAAGTTTGATAAACTAGCCAGTCTCTGCCACAGTCAGCCCTTTTGGACATCAAATATCTATCCATTTTTATTTCCTGACAAATCACACTCTTCCTCCCCGCAAAGGAGGACCTAGAATTCAACCAAAGTACACATCCAGCTCAGAGTCCAGGATCTCTGGCTGTTTGCAGTCTTCCCCATCAGGTCCAGGTGTGGCTCCTTCTGGCCAGGTAATAATGTGTACCAAACATAAAAATTATTTCCACCTTTCCCCAGAAGCACACAACATCCAGTAGTGGGGCAGGTACAGAATAACCTCAGGAAAAACTCCCTTAGTGAAAGGAAAAAAGAGAAGACACATAGCAATCACCATACCAAAGAAGTTATAGAATCTGCTGGGGAGTCACTGAGAAGCCCCTTACCCTGGAGGTGGCGAAGCTCTTTGAGTATACAGTGATTCTGTTCTGGGAGTAAACTCCCATATTCATTTTTTTAGTGGCCCCTGGATCCACTCTGGGAAGTTTTTTCCCTGCTTGTTGGCCGTATCTTGCTATTATCCTCCTTCAGAACTGTAAAGCTTTTGTGGGTCACTTCCAAATAAAGCCTCCTTATTTTACTTTTGAATATTCAATTAAACCAAGGTTCATGGTTTTCACTGGCAATAAAAGTCTCTAAAATATTTGGTAGATTTTTTAATCTATTTTCTTCTAATTAATTCTTCAAGCCAATAACCACATTGAACGTGTTTTTTTTTTTTTTTAAGCATAGTTTTAAATTTTCTTTTTATCTTCACTTCTTCACCCCTTGCCTTAGTCTTTCAACTTAGTAAGTGCCTGGAGGTGATCTGAGATAATGGGCTGGGTTAGGAAGGACATAGCCTTAATCTGATTTTTGCTGCACTGATAAGTCTTAGACATTTGCTCAAAACCAAGGACCCAGATACCTGGTATGACTATGCCCTCTCATTTCTGCTTGCAAACCAGCCAATGCTTTTGTTAGTTCATCTCTTTTTTATAACTTCCCAAAGGCAGCCAAAACCACCAACATATTTCAATAATGCTATTTCCCAACTTCATCACCTAGAACAACAAAGCTCAGTAGATACATGGTCTAGATTCCAACTGGTTTCTGGCGGCAGTTTTACCATTACATAAGATACATCTCCAACCCTTTAATATGCCGTATCTGTTTCCATGCTGCCACTTAGGACAAACCACTATGCCAGTGAATCCCACAGCTCTTTCCCTGTGTCTTATGTTCCATCCATTGTTGACCAAATCTAGATAACTCTACCTCTCAAATATCTCTAAAATCTCTCCCCTCTGTTCTGTCCCCAGGGTTGCTACCTTAATTCAAGTAATCCTTTCTCATATAAATTAGTCCCCTCATTGGTAGACTCTGTGCCTCCAAAAGTCACCACATCTCATCTCTGCTCCCAGAAATGTTCTAAAATGCCAATGTGATCACTGCAACTTCTCATTAAAACATCTGGATGGTTCCCATTGCTTTAAGGCTAAAATTCAAAGTTCTCCAATATCTAATCTCATCTCTAATTACTCTTCAATCCTCATTTCAGTTATGTAAAATAATTTTAGCTCCTGCAAATATATCACTATCACTTTCTCAGATATCCATTATCATGTAGAAGTTAGACCATTGGACCAGATAGAACTTTTCTTCTTTCTTGAGTAAACTTATTCATCCTTCAAAATGTACCAAAGACTTTATTTTTTTTTAAGATTTTATTTATTTATTTGACAGAGAGACAAAGCAAGAAAGAACATAAGCAGGGGAGTGGGAGAGGGAGAAACAGGCTTCCTGCTGAGCAGGGAGCCCGATGCAGGGCTAGACCCCAGGACCCTGAGATCATGACCTGAGTCGAAGGCAGACGCTTAACGACTGAGCCACCCAGGCGTCCCTGTACCAAAGACTTTAAATCTCCTAGGAATACATCCCTGATTACTATATCTGAATTAGGTATCTTTCCTACTGATTTCAAAGCAGAAAGCTTGTTTTTATTACAGTATGGGTCACACTATAATTACATATATCAAGTTTAAACTTCTTGAGGACGAACAGCATATCTTTTGTCTCTATACATCTCACATACACCAAGTAAATATTGGTTGAACAAATGCATGACCCCCACAATTATGGCACGGCGGTGACCCCCAACATCAATCTTCAATCTTCACCTGTCTCTTCTCTCTTAACTGCCGGATCTTCAATTCCAACTTCCTGATGACTCTCTCCATATGCGTGTCTACTTAGCAGATCTAAAATTGAATCCATTATCTTTCCCATCCCCTTCTCCACCTGCCTAAAATCCATCTGTCCTCTGAATTCTGATCTCAACTTAATGATGTCTATCTACCCAGTTTTCCAGTCTAGACACTTCAATGTCTTTCTTTAGGAATTCTTTGGTCAGGTGAGTTAGTGATAGGTTAAAAACAGCAAGCAGAGTTCTTTTCTGCAGCATTTCATACAGCTTTCAATATGTTAATGCTCAATATGAAGCTCAACCAGTAAATGCATTTTCTTAAACTTACCTAACTAGAGATCCCTTTTGCTGAGATGAATCCCTCAGAACTAGTGTTCAGAAGACTACACTTTGAGAAACGCTGCTGTAAACCCCTCTCCACCTTCTTCCCTGCCCTCAGGCTTGAAGCCACCAGTCACCAGCGGCTTTCTATTATACACAGGTTCAAATCCTCAGCCTATTATATTCTCTTCTAAATCTAGCCTCGCTCACCTTCCTAACCTCACTTCTTATCACATCTCTCCTTTCCCAAAACGCAACACATTCTTTCTTCCTTCAGAGCTTTAATATTTTTCTCCCATGGCTCAAAATGGCCTCTTCTTTTCCGACCCTACATTTAACAAACTTCTCCTTAAAACCCTTTCCTAATGAGATCTCTTCTTTTTTTTTTTTTAAGATTTTATTTATTCATTTGAGACAGAGAAATACAAAGAGAGAGCACGAGCAGGGGGAGAGGCAGAGGGAGAGGGAAAAGCAGACTTACCCGACGATCTGAGATCCCGATGAGGGGCTCGATTCCAGGACCTGAAGATCATGACCTGGAGATGCTTAACTATTTGAGCTACCCAGGCACCCCTACTGAGATCTCTTCTGAGAAACTTTCATTCTGGCACTTGGTTGGTTACTCTTCAATGTCTCCATAATGCTTTGCACTTACCTCTAGTACAGCATATTCACAGACAGCTTGCCTACCCTATCTATCCCGCTCGACAATAGAATTCAAAGCCATAAACTTCTCACTGCTTTATTAACTGTGAACTACACAGTCTGAGGTCTTATATTAGAAGAAATATCACTCTGTTGGAAGACGTGGCTAAACAATTTTGTCCCAGTAAATTCCTCGTGCCCATTAGCATACTCTCTCCTCTCAATTTCTGGTGGCCCCAGAGCTTCATAATTTTAATTTTAATCATGGCTCCCCACCTTCCACTGCTAAGAGTTAAAGTGTGGGCTTTTGTTTCAACAAGGAAATTCCATTAAAAGCACACCAGAAGCAAACAGTTTTGCCTGTTGGTTTACTGAACCTCTTTGCTACACCAAAAACTTACCCTTTGCAATCAGATCCATAGAGTCCTTGAATTTTTCCTTTACACTAAAAATGTATGGCTCCTTGAAAGAAGTTCGTTGTGAGGGCTCCTTAAAATGTTCACTTTTGAACAGGTGTTTGGGAAAACAAATACATTTGTGTGCTGTCCGAAATTCTTGGACCACATCAAGTGTTTCCTTTTCTTTAATCTCCAAAGGTATGAATTTGCCAGATTTTGGTTTTTGATGTTTATTTTTAAAAACATTTATAGAAGTACCTTGAACTTTTTTCTGTGAGTAAAACAAAAATAAATTTAATAAAATTTAATTTTAATATTAACCATATAATAAAATTATACATTTTATTAATAAGTTAATAAAATTATATCCACTAAATGCATTTTACAACATACCTTACTATATAAGATATTTACTATAAAGCATATGACAGTAATCAGGTAAAGCAGATGCTATCCTTTATAGTTCTCCAAAAGCCCTTAACAAGAATGAGGGTTATACTCCACTTAAAATAAAAATGTAAATTCTCCAATAGTAATTTTCTCCTCATATGTGATATTTTCAAATACAACTTTAAAGTCCATTTTAAAATAGAAGTTTTCAAATAGTAAGCATATAAAAATTTAATAATTTTCAAGCATCTTTTAAGCATTTTCAAATGTCCATAAAATGCTAACACTCTCAAACCTCTTTCCGTTGAATGGAAGAAATTATAGCTCATACACGGAAATAGGTTCTCAAGAAAAGTATATTAATAATCAGATATGTATTTCAGATCCTTTCAATCACTTAATTCCTTCTTAATTTTGACTACCTTGAGTAATAGAAAAATAATACAGCCCCAGGTCTCTGACAGGTAATTATCCAAACAATTATAATTGTTCTATTCTAGACATTCTCTTGGTCCATAGATAGAGCTATAGTTCCCTGCCCTCGTCACTCCCCTCCAAAAATCGTTGCCAACTCAAGACATCAATAAGGAGGTTTTAATATGCTAGTACTATGTTCTGCCAAGCAACCAAAGATGGAAGAGTATACTCTTATGATTGGATAAAATTCTTTAAAAAGTCACGTACATCTATCTGAAGTACATCTATCTAACTCTTTAGACTGTGAAGTTTTCATCCCATGTGCCTACTAGTGAGATCAATATAATTTAAAATTATTTTTAATTGGCTAGAGGAAAAACTTAAGCAGTGTTAACAGTGTTGATTAGAAAATTAAAACCACCTATGACCAGTCGCAGCCTAGAGGACCATTCAAATGAAAGATGTAACAATTATAATCCCCCTCCCCTACACCAGAAGCATTGAAAAATATTTAAAATCGTATCTAAAATTCAGTTTTTTAAAAAATAGTATTGGGGCGCTAAACAGGGAGTCTGCTTCTCCCTCTGACCCTACCCCTCTTGTGCTCATGCGCTCTCTTTCTCAAATAAATAAAATCTTTAAAAAAAATGTTTTAAAGTATTCAAAAGGGGATGGTATAGTGTGGCACACAGTAAGTCATCTTAAGATCCCCTTTCGTCACCTATCTTCCCAAAGACCCATTTGTCACAATAGCAGCTGCTCTCCCAAATTTCCCATCTCCTCTGGAGATGCTTTCCTCTAAAATTTCATCCTGTAGTGACTCTCCTATCTCTTTGCTGACCCATTCCCTTACACTCCTTCTCACCTTCCAAATCTATGCCATTCAGCAAATATTTATTGAACCAGCCACAAAGCTTGTTGCTGGAGATGCAACAGTCAAAAAGAGTCACTGCCCTCAAGGAACGATCAGACTGGTAAACGGCTCTAATGCAAGATGATATGAAAGAAGATACAAGGAAGCATGTCATGCTGGGGGCACACAGCTCATGGCATATTTCCTAGTTTAGCTTTATCTAATAGTGTTTAAAAACAGATATTTATTTGAGATATGTAATTCAAATATTTCTGTGATAATTCATCAAAACATTAAAAATTGGATTAAATGTGCAAATATACAGGTAATTAAATAATCTGTATACCTATAAAAATCTTATTTTTAAATGCAGTCTAAAATCAATTTTTATAGCTAGTAAAGATTTCATTTATCTCTTCTATTCAGAATCTATTAGGGTTCATGCAACCATTTGGAACAATCATTGTAGTATACAAAAACAGTTATTAGTTTCCTGAAAAATAAGTTAGATAAAGCCAGAGCATTAACCTCATTTATTTTCTCACAATGTTGGGCAAAGAGAGTTTTTGCTTCTTGAAAAAAATCTTGCTTGGTGATCTCTAATACAGGACCTAAAACAGAAACACAAAATGTTTTATTTTTTTAATGTAATTAATGTACTTTCTTAATCACAAATGGCAAAACTATGAGATTAAAATTTGGGCAGTGATGATTCTTGCAGAACATTATAAAAGATAAGTGTTCCAAGTGGACGTTAACAGTGGATGCAAAAGAAGTATGTAATACTCCTTCAATGTAATATTTTACTTTAGAAAACATCAGCTTACAATGGTGAGAGTGATGAGGTAGATTGTCCTAATTTATTAAAGTCTAGGGGAAAAGATACAAATGTAGGGATCCGAAGGGGTACATGCACCCAGATGTTTATAGCAGCAATGTCCACAATAGCCAAACTGTGGAAAGAGCCAAGATGTCCATCGACAGATGAATGGATAAAGAAGATGTGGTATATATATATACAATGGAATATTATGCAGCCATCAAAAGGAATGAAATCTTGCCATTTGCAACGACATGGATGGAACTGGAGGGTATTATACTGAGCGAAATAAGTCAATCAGAGAAAGACCTGTATCATATGACCTCACTGATATGAGGAATTCTTAATCTCAGGAAACAAACAGGTTTGCTGGAGTGGTAGGGGGTGGGAGGGATGGGGTGCCTGGGTCATAGACATTGGGGAGGGTATGTGCTATGGTGAGCCCTGTGAATTGTGTAAGACTGTGGAATCACAGACCTGTACCTCTGAAACAAATAATACATTATATGTTATAAAAAAAAGAGGAAGAAGATAGTAGGAGGGGAAGAATGAAGGGGGGGAAATCGGAGGGGGAGATGAACCATTAGAGACGATGGACTCTGAAAAACAAAGGGTTCTAGAGGGGAGGGGCGTGGGGGGATGGGTTAGCCTGGTGATGAGTATTAAAGAGGGCACGTTCTGCGTGGAGCACTGGGTGTTATACGCAAACAATGAATCACGGAACACTACATCAAAAACCAATGATGTAATGTATGGTGATTAACATAATATAATAATAAAAAAATAAAAATAAAAAAGTCTAGGGGAACCAATTATAGTACACAAAATTTAAATCCCCTTCAGCTTTTAAAGTTCTTTAAATGTTACTACACAGACACATAACACGACTTGGGCACAAAAATTATTAACAAATCTAAGTGTGTTTTCTATACCTGATGACTAATTCACATGGCTGTACATTTCTTTACAAATATTTACCTTCCAACTAGTTAAAATTATAACTGCAAAATAAACTCAGTAGGTTTATTAGGTAGGAATAGCATTGACATAAAAAATACACACCTACAAATGGATAACATTATAATAACTCTAATCCCATTTATATTTTCTTAAGATTCTTACTCCTTTTATCCCAAGCTATGTATAGAATTCTATAGCATGGACTACATCATTCTCATTTAGTCCTGTCTAAGTTTTTCTCCTGATATATTTCCTTCATTATTAGCTGATTCTGACTTTTAGAAGTGTTTCTTGGCTTCTTCTTCTTAACCTGGACTCAGTAAAGTTTAAATATATTACCAAATTATTGATTCAAATTGGCTTTTCAATCTAGCCAGTGTGATCCCCATTCCTGTAACTCTACCTCCTTTAGTACTCAGGATCAAGATTTTCTCTCTTCTTTTCACCCTCTCATATTTTAAGCAATTAAAAAATTCATCTTGGGCGCCTGGGTGGTTTAGTCAGTTAAGTGTCTGCCTTCGGCTCAGGTCATGATCTCTGGGTCCTGGGACCGAGTCCTGAGTTGGGCTCCCTGCTCAGCGGGGAGTCTGCTTGTCCCTCTCCCTCTGCCCCTCTGCCCCCCACTCATGCTCTTTCTCTCTCTCCCTCTTTCAAGTAAATAAATAAAATCTAAAAATTAATTAATTAATTAAAAAGTCATCTTCATGCAAATCAAAATCATGAGCTACTGTCTTAGTCCATTTGGGCTGCTGTAACAAAATGCCACAGGCTGGGTGACTTACAAACAACAGACATTTATTTCTCACAATTCTGGAAGCTAGAAGTGCAAGATTAGGGTGTCAGCATGGTCAGGTGAGGGTCCTCTTCCAGGTCCCAGATATCTCACAAGGTGGAAGGGACTAGGGAGCTCTATTGGGGCCCCTTTTATAAGAGCACTAACCCGTTGATTGAGGGATCCACCCTCTGACCTAATCACCTTCCAAAGGCTCTACCTCCTAATATCATCACCTTTTGGGGTTAGAATTTCAACATTCCAATTTTGGGGGGGCCCAAACATTCAGATCACAGCAGACACCACTGCATACTCACCAGAATGGCTAAAATTAAAAAGACTTATGACAGCCAAAATTGGTAAAGCTGTGGAGCTACTGGAACACTCATGTGTCTTTGGCAGAAATGCAAGATAAGATAATCAGCTTGGAAAAATTATAGCAATTTCTTATAAACCTAAATATGCACCTAACCTAGGACCTAGCAATCCCACTCCTAGGTATTTATCAAAGAGAATGAAACATATTTTTACAAAAGCATTGTGCAGGAATGGTCCTAGAAGCTTTATTCATAAGAGTTCTAAACTCAAAACAGCCCAGATGTGTATCAACAAGAGAACAGTAAACAAACTGTGGACGATTCACAAATGAAATACCACTCAGCAATAAAAAAGAATCAAGCTACTGACATACACAACATGGATGAATTTCAAAATCATTATGCAAAGTAAGCATCCTTACACACACACACACACACACACACACACACACACACTACTTTATGGTTCCACTTCTTATATGAAGTTCTAGTGCAAACACAGCTAATACATGGGAGATAGAAAAGAACAGTGATTTTTCTGGTCAGGGATGGCATGGATTGAGTGAGAAGGGACAGGAAGGAAATTTCTGGGGTAACAGTAATGTTCTATACTCTGATGCACAGTGGATCAATCGCACAGGCATATGTAATTATTATAACTCAGTGAATATATACTGAAGATTTTGGCATTTTGTTGTCATACATTTTATATCAATAGAATAAAAAATATAAGCAAATAATGAATCCTGACTAATGATATGCATGTGGATGGATGGATACGAAATAAATCAAATGCAGTAAAATATTCATGGTAAAAACTGGGTGGTAAGTCTATGGGTATTAATTTAAAATTCTTTCAAGCTTGCTGTATGTTTGAAATTTTCATAACAAAATATTGGGGACAAGTTCTCCCTTCATTCCTTCAAAAAATTTCCCCTGACTTTTCTCCATGTAGATTTCAGGGGCCACAGGCAGCTGTTAGTTTGGGGGCAATACCATCCTGAGGACTGAAGCCTGAGGGAGACCCTTGCAATAAAGGAGGAGCCACTTGGACTCTAGGCACCCCCTTGAAAGTGCTGGGTTAGGAGAAAAAGCATCTACTAAGGTGTCCCATCACTGGGCAGTGGAATTGCTGCTCTGCAATCATTCTAGAAAAAAACAACCTCTTTTCTTGCTCCCTAGCTTCTTCCCTCTTTCCACTCTCACCTATGTAAAGTATGTAAGTCATCGACAAACCCAAATCTCCCTGTCCACCCACACTTGCCTCTGTATCGCCCCACATTCAGAGCTATCTACATATTTCTAAGGATATAGATTGGTGGATTTTTTTCTTCTTTCTAATAAAAAAATACTTGTCAAGACATCATGCACATGCTTCAAGACGTATACATGTTCCTTGTGTAGATCACAGCACAAAGTCACACGTCAATCATTATATGGTTCACAAAGATGTCACCACTCAAAGCCATATGATGCACGGTCCTCACATGGAAGAGACAGGCGTTCTGGAATGAAAACTGTTTCATCAAGTTTCAACTAAAATCTAAATCTACTTTGAGGAGGCTTCTAACCAGACCATGTGCCCCCCAGAGGAAAAGCAGTAACATATTCTGAGTGATGCCACAACCTCTCCTCTGTTTCTTCCTCCCCTGACCGTCTTTCCTCCTCTAATTCCCTTCTTCTGACTACCGCCCCTATAATTACTTATAATTACAGTATTGCCAGGTGTCATACACATGACAAACAATAAAACTTATTCATAATGAAATGATGAAGTCACTGGTTTTTGGTGAAAATGTAGCTTTATAAAAACTATCATGTCTTCATTCTAAATGAAGATCTAGTCTTCATTTATAGGCAAAGCTGACACGCAGAGGGCCCTTCCGAAGTCAGCCATGCTGGAAGCCCACCCAAGGAGCTGGTCTCCTGAGTTGTTTCCTGATTTTTTTCTACATATCTGCTGCTTTTCCCAACTTCATGCACTACTTCTTGTGAGTACTGGAGACTCCTCTGAGGTCTGCCTGGTCACTCTAGTGAAATATTTGCCTTTCATCACCACTTTCTGCTATGGACTGAAGACATGTATTCTCCCAAAATTCATATGTTGAAACCTATTGCCCAATATGATGGTATTAGGAGGAGGGCTCTGAGGGTGGAGCCCTCATGATTGAGATTAGTGCCCATTTAAGGAGCCTCCAGAGAGCTAGGTAGTCCCTTCCACCCTGTGAACCTACAGTGAGAAGACATCCATCAGTGAGGAAGCAGGCCTCGCTGGACACCAAATCTATTGGCACCATTATCTTGGACTTCCCAGTCTCCAGAACTGTGAGAAAAAAGTTTCTTTTGCTTAAAAGCCACTCAGATTATGACATTTTGTTACAGCAACCCAAACAGACCAAGACACTTTCATTTCAAGCTGCCAGTCCTGAGCCCTTATTGTAATTTAATGTGCTGATAAAGCTGTTGATATTTTCCCTTCTTAATTGGCCTTAGACAGAGGAGTTAAATTCCCAAGGCAGCATCTTACTTCTCTCTGGGCTCTTTGATGACCAGTGTGTCTGGTTTTCCCCATCACCAATAGCCACCTGTCACCTGTGAACTGTGGAGAAGCTACTATACACCCTAGCAATGCTAATGGCCCTCTTGGAGCCAGCAAGTAGATTCTGACTCATCAAGGTACTGCCACCATAAACCCATACAGTCAGGCAGTGAAGTTCTTGAATAGGACAAGGCCTGGGACTGTTCTTAAAGAGGCAGAGAAAGGCAGCCACCACCCAAAGAGAGCAATTTCTCACAGATCCTAAAACGGCTCCAGCTGAAGGCATGTTGACACGCTGACTCCAAGTTGGCACTTAAACCTGAGCCCTCGTTGGCATTTAAGATGCTGAGGCAGCTGTTTGGATTTTCTCCTATAACTAAAAATTAGCCTTTGAACCAAAAAGTTAAATTCTGAAGGTAGCACAAGAGCATTCATATCTCAGTGCCTTAGGAAAGGCAAATGGCTGGTGCCAGTTTGTCCCAGAAAAGGAAAGAAAAAAAAAGAAAAGGCAAAGCTAGTGTGTGCTATTTTTATAATTTCAGTTGAATATATATGTTCAACAAATGAGTCTAAAATTATGAGAAATTAAACAACTTTGATGATAAGAATCCATCCAATTAATAATCTTTGAAGCTTCTGTTTCTTTGTTCATAATATGTTAAGTATACAAGCATTCAGCTTTTATACATTGACGTGCACATTGGAACTTCAACTATTAAGAGGAAGTTGTCAAGGTATGCTCCTTCTCTTAAAAAAAAAAACCTGTAATTAAGGCTTTGTTTATTTGCAAATATGTACCCATAGCATATAGAGTGACTTTTAAGAGCTCTCATTCCTGAGTCACACTATTTTGGTCTTGAATTACAATTTGCTCATGAATCTTATTTTATTGTCTTAAGCCTTCATTTTCTCATTTGTAAAATGAGGATAATAACAATAATAGTATATCTTGCACAGGGTTGTGAGGATTCAATTGGACTTGGTTATGAAGCACTTAGCACAGTGCCTGGCACATAATAAGTTTTCAATAAATATGAGCAATTATTACTGTAGTTATTGTATTATTACTATCATTGAGCTAAACTCTTCTCCAACCATGTTTATATCATTAATTTCGTTAGTCAATCCTCATTTCTTCAGTAGCACAAAGATAAATTTCAACTTTCTAAATTGGTTTGAATAAATCTGGTATTATAGTTCTTTTTATCCAAAACTAATTAATTAATAGATTTGCAAATAATAAAATTTCATTATACTTTGAATCCTTCAAGTTAGCAACCCCCCAAAAGCAATAAAATTATTATAAGCAATCACAAATATTTTATGATAAAGTTCACAAAGAGATTGAAAAACTTATACTACCTACATAAAACATGAGTGCAAATATTAATATTTCCATGGGGAAAGATAATGAATTTCTAATGCCAAACAATTTCACTAGCCTAAAATATTTTCTTACATTTCTTTTATATTTGAAAAAAAAACTCACTCTTCGTATATCATCAATTTAGTGGTATTATGACTGGTAGTTCATAAAACTTCAGAATTCTCTTAATGCTTTAGAGCTCTGTGTAACTGCTCTAGTAAATCTGTGAAGTGAAAATACCAGAAGACCTGATTATGGAAGCTATAACAGGGAACAAGCCACTGGCCATCTCTTGACTGTATCATTGAGCAAGTCTTTTCTCCCCTAGAAAGACCTAGGGACTTGCAAACATGTGTTTTTTTATAACCATAACAAAAATAACTGGCCTTACTAAGAGGCTTTCTAACCTTCCTACAAACAGGCTGCACTCTCCAGAGCCTTCACAAAAATTTACTAAGGAGCTATCCTAAACAAAGATGTATGACTACATGGCTAAGGCCCTCTTTGCCTATATAGTCAAAGTAAGTGCCTGTGTGTTTGATTTCACAGGTGTTAGAAAAGCCATACCTCAGACTCAATGAGGTTTAGTATATGCTCATTAAGCACCTACTAAGTCCCAGATGCTAAGTGTGCTAAATTTGGTGCTAATTTGGTGCTAAATGTGCTGAAATAAATAGGACATTAGGTATCCCTACCTTCCAGGTATTTAGAGCCTAACTCCAGAAAAACTATTGTCAATAAAGGCCATGACATTCGGTATGATCCATATGCTATGACATAGGCCAGCATAAGTCACCAACATCCCACCAACTGCCAGCTCATGAATGTATGAATTCGCCTTTAAAGATATAAGACTTTGCATTGTATTATTAGAGATAAGGTTTAAAACAGAAATATCCCAAGAGAAATAAAACAATAAAACAGTGAATCAAATCCAGACTAAGGCAGTGGTTTTAAAACTGCGCTTCATCAATTTCATATGCCTTCCGGGCTCTTCCATCTTTCAGTCAGAGCATCTCGACCTTATCTGTTTTACATATTTGAGCTCTTCCTAAGTTTTCATTTTGTAGGAAATATTCCTTGGCTAAAAATAACAAACACACAGCAAACGAGTGAAAAACAAACTAACAAAGGATTGAATATCACTGTGTGTGCTGAAAGATCTTCTCAAAGCAGGTTCAGAGGAAGGGCAGAGTTAGATTAGGAGCTTTAGGGATGAGGAGCAGGAGAGGGAAGCCGGAACAAAGATGGTTTAATTCATTCCAGGGAAAAGAGTTGTAGAAACTAGGAAATGGAAGGGAAGCCCTTCGAAGAGGAACCTCAAAGAAAATAGTTTATATTCAATTTCATTACACGTAAGTGAGGAAAATATAATTTGTCTAATTTCTTTTCAAAAAGAGTTCAAAAGCCAAGTGAAACCCAAATTCCAAGTGATATATGCCTATCACCTCCTAAAACCTATATTTGACAATCATTTCCACAACACATTCTGCATTAAGACCCAACTCTTCACTTCCAATGAAACAGCATTCTGTTGAATTGTCTCTTACACACTTTTCCTCACTCCCCCACTTTCTTTATTCCTTCTTTAGCAAAGTGGCTTATTGTCTTTGCAATAATAAGGATTAATAGGTTGCCTACCTACCTGAGGGAGAATTTACAGTGCACCTCCCCTCTAAAAACAAACAAAAAAAATCTCTCTATGTTAATCTCTCTCAGAGTGGGACTCGGTTGCTAAGGAAATACAGGGGAATTTCCAGCTTTCAGGATCCAGCCTTCAAATATAATTTAAGTAATTATGGGCATGATCCAAAGGCAAAATGGAACTTAGAGAACATTCTTCCTTTCTGCCCTTTCCATCTAAAAATGTGCTGTATTACCCAAATAGAGAGTTACAGTAATCCACATGGCACTCTATTTGTAGCCTAGAATAGAAGCCCACTGGCTTGTACCATATACTGTCTGGGGTCACAAGAGCCAAGGGGAAGTTGCTTAACCAGAAAACCTTGATAATCCCAACCCTCTATTCAGCACTCTATGTTTCTCAATCAGGCTAGCTAAGCCTAAATTTAAGATTAACCGAAGTGTTGCCAAGTCTAGATCAGCTCTAAAAGAAATACAATGTGAGCCATATATGTAATTTAAAATTTTCTAGTAGTCACATTTTTAAAAATGAAAAGAGATTAAATTAATTTTAAAAACATACAGTAATTATTATAGATTTTATTTAAATTATATCCAAGTATTATCATTTCAACATTAATCAATATTAAAAATTAATGAGATACTTTACATTGTTTTTTGTTCTGTCTTCAAAATCTTGTATTTTGTACCTATATACCTCTCAATTCAGATACTGGCCTTAGATTTTCCAAAGTATCCACTTGCAAAAATATATTCACATACTCAAGTTATTCCAAACAGTTGTTCCAAACTGTTAAAAGTTTTCTGACGACTGAATTATCAGTTTTTTGTATTGAAATTAAAATGAATTAAAATTAAATATTCAGTTCCTTAGTTTCCCTGGTCACACTTCAAGCACTGAATAGCCATATGTGGCTAGTAGACACCATATTAGACAGCACCCTAAATTAAAACCTGCTATAGATATCTCAAATTTGGTGATATTGAAATAAAGGGAATGAGATGAATTCTTACAAGGTACACCAATAACTTTAGTGTTCTAAGGATTAATAATTAAAAGTTTCCTCAAAGCCGGTGGAGCATGAAGCATTATGCACTGAGTTGTTACGGAAATGTGATACTCACATTCTGCCTTATCAGGCATAGCCTCTGCAGCAACCATGATGGGTGGTTAGGGTGATCTTCTTTTTTGAAAGTTGGGCTCCAAGTCCCTAAACACAATTACATTAAATAATGCATTGATTATAAATACTAATTTTTAGCTATTTCTTTCTCCCACTCATAAAAAAAATTGGATGAATTATTAACACTTGTTATACATCACTCCTCTGCTCTAAAATCTTCCATGCCTACCCCTCCAAAAGACAGTGATAACAACAGCTAGTACTGGGTGGGGCTCTGTGGTTTACCAAGTGCCTGTATACGTATTACCTTAGTGGTTCCGAACAACCTGACAGGAACTATTGTCCCACTTTTGGCAGATGTGGAAACTGGAGCTCAGAGATGTGAGACAACTTGTTGAAGTAAGCAGTTATTTCATGGCACATACAGAACTCAAATCCCCATCTTTGGGCCCGAGTCCTAAACAGGCTTCTCTGATTTCTCACTATTTTCCAAATAATATCCTGTTAATACCTAGCACATACCTTACACATCCTTGCCTTGAGCTTACACACTTGAGCTTAGGTTGAGGCTAGCCTTCTACTCAGAATGCACTGCTCTCACATCTTTTTTTTTTTTTTTTAAACATATGTCCTACCCATCCTTACAGCATAGGTTCAAATCCTACCTCCTTCATGATCACCCAGGCCTCTAGGGGTCTGTTCTTGTAAACACAGTAGTCATGATGTCAATGTCTCATTTGAAACTTACCAAATGCTTCTGTTTAAGGAGCAAAAAAAAAAAAAGAAAAGAAAAAAGAAAAAAATAGAGTGATGAATATAAATAGAAGTCCTATATTCTCAATTAAACTCCAGGTGCCTTGAAAACCAAACTATACTTCATACCAGGGGCTCCTCAACGCTGGATGTCTAGTAGAATTGCCTGGGTGGGAGGTGGTTAAAAATATATCTGTCTAGAGTGGAACCTAGGCATCTGCATTTTTAAGTTACCCAAAAGATTCAAACAGTCAGCTGGAGGAGCGAACCCCTGCCTTTTGCCTTGACCTTCATGTTTCCCAGCTCAGTGCATCCCATTCTGGAGGTGCTCAAAAAGGGCTGATTAATATGTTTATTGAGCTGAGCCCTTCCTCCTACATTTGAAATTATCATTACTTCCAAAGGATTATTCAAAATACATCAAATGTTGTCCCTACAGCCAGGGAATCAGTTCCACCAGTGCATACTACTGTGTGCTCACACTGCTTTATAATTGGAAATAGCAATATTAAATGCTTTACAGAGTCTCATGGAGCCTCTTGTTCTAAAACTCTAGGTATAATTTTCAGTTAGCTGACTAGAGCACCAAACTGTAGTGAAGTGTTCAAGACCTGTTAAATAATTTGGGGATTATTTGAGTAAATCCACAAGCCGTGGCTCAGTGGGTTAAGCGTCTGCCTTCGGCTTAGGTCATGATCCTCGAGTCCTGGGATGGAGCCCCGCATGGGGCTCCCTGCTCGGCGGGAAGCCTGCTTCTCCTTCTGACCCTCCCTCCTCTCATGCTCTCTCTCTCTCTCTCTCAAATAAATAGATAAAATCTTTAAAAAAAAATCCACAAACCATCATGGCCCTATGGAAGTCATGACTCTATAGCCACATGCTCTTAGATAAAAGGCTACGACACTTTCCCTCAACTTCTACCCAGAGGGGGTAAAATTTTATAGTTACAGTTTTAAAATAACAAATCTGGAACATCCAAAAATGATTAATTCTCAAATTGTCAGCATTATACCATGGGCAAGAGCACCAACCATGTACCTCATCTGCCTGGTTCTACAAATGAACTGGGACAAATTAAAATACTGCACCTCTCTTAGCAATTAACAATCAGAACTCATCTTCTGGTCTGGCTTAATTACGGTCTTCTTTTCATTTAAATATGAGAAGAAAATAAAGGTATTTTGTGCTGTCATTTTCTTGTTTTAATCTCCATAGAAATGGACTCTTCTCTGGGGCGTTTGGCTCCTCCACCTTAATTCAGTGTGCCAGGAGTGTCAGCCTGCATTAAATTGGCTGGCAAGCAAGACATCCCACAGCCCTTTTAATGCACAAAACTAGCCAAGCATCCTAAAGGGGTGCTGGCATGGTAATGCCCCCACAAACCGAGGTGATAGAGGACGCTGAGACAGGAGCTGGGGGTGGAGGAAGCCCTGGAGGATGGAATTACTTAAAGATAAGCAGCACACTGACATGGAGTATCAGCAGATAGAATCCCTCTCCACTTTACATCCCCAGCAGACAGTTAGGAAACGCTGAGTCCCTCCTGATACGTTGATCGACTAATAAGTGCAAATCTAGTGTCTGGGTTGTACAAGAGGTATGCCATCTATTTTGGAAGAAAAGGCAAAGACGTAAGTCAAAATTTTAAATAAAATGCAAACAACTGTATACCAGATGTCATAAGAAAGTCTGTGAGCTAGGGTGCCTGGCTGGCTCAGTGGGTAGAGCATCTACATTACGTAAGTAATGTTCTGGAATGTGACTTCCATAAGGAAGGACTTTGTTTTCTTCCCTGCAGTAGTCCCAGTGCCTTTAAGAGGACCTGGCCTAAAGAAGGATTTCAAAAACTGTTTGTGGAAAGAGTAATTATGGCAACAGCATGCTGGACAGGGATGCCCTACCTTTTCATGTCTTTTCAGGCACATCTGTGAAAACATCCTTCCTCCCTTTCTCCTTCAGGAGGTGCAATTCAAGGCTCTCCTATTGGGTTACAGGAAGGCTAAGGGCTTCTAATTCTATTTCTATGCAGATAAAAAGCAAACAAACGTAGAAACAGTATTTCCCTTCCTTATCTCCTTAGCTTATCCCTCCAAAGCAGATGACTGGTAAGAGTTTATCATGGCACCCTGTATAATTAAGGATCCTAGTGACAAAAAACTGCCCTATGGCCTTCAGCAGGACTTGGGGAAACAGGTCATGATCCACGGATCAAAACAGGCAGTTTCAACAGTTGACAGAAGGGTGCATGAGAGCAATCTAACCTGACTTTCAATCACATGTTACTCCCTTCCCACTTCTCCACGTTAGAAATTGTACCTATATCCACCCAGTTGCACAAGCCATAAAACGTTGACTCCTTCTATATTTTACCTACCACATCCAATCCATCAAGTCTTCTACATTTTAACTTCAAAATACCTCCTTCTCCTCACTTCCCTCTCCCAGCCACAATCATCTCGTTCTTGGAATGTTGGAACAGCCTCCTGACTGCTGTCTTAATCTCCACTCTTATCCTATTCCAATTCCTTCTCCACACAGCAGGAGTTGTCTTCTTAAATGTGTATCGGAGTGTATCATTTCCTTTCCATGACTTCCAAATGCATTTATTATAAAACCTAGCTCCTTGCCTTGGGCTTTTCTCACTCTTGCAACTGAGTAAATATGGATGAAAAATATAGGACTGACATCCCACTGCTCCACCGAGAACTGAGCCAAGGGGCTTGCTTCGACTTTTCTTAGCCTTTAGTTTCCTCATTTGTAAAATAAAACTGTTGGGCAAGAAGACCTCAAAGGCCCCATTACTTTCTTAAAATCTATTATTACATTGCTTTTGTAATGTATATAATTCTAACTGGCCCCAAATTTCAAAAAACTGCGTGGTTAAGAGTTCCTGTCTCCATCCTGTCCCTGTCCACTTTTCTCTGTTCTCTGGAACTTGGGAGCAGAATATACAAGAAAGTGGCCTAGGCCTGACCTCTTTCCATCATGTCCATGGTTGCAAACCGCGCCCCACCCCCCCCGCCACCCCGGCCGTGTGCCTCTCAACCCTTGGCCACTACGATCGCCCTCTGAGATTTTGTCCAGTCATTTGTCTTGTTTCATTCTTTAATAAGTGTGAACCCTCCTCCACTTTTTCTCTTTCAAGTCAACAAGGACCTTCAGGTCATTTTCCAGATCTGCTTCCTGACTTCTCTCTGCCGAGTCTCTTTGTCCCTCTGACCAGACATCAGATATGCTGGTACCAAACAACACGAATGAGAAAACAGAAAGGAGTGCAGGGAAAGAAAACAAAATGGAACAAGTCCAATATAGCAGAGCCAATATTAGGTATTTATAATGGGTAAAAAGATATACCAGACAATATGAGACTAAAAAAAGTACAACTGCGTAATTAAAATTATGAACCAAATTAGTCAGACGGCCATAAAATGAGTTGGAAAGAAGATATTATATGAACGCGTGATCATTAATATCAGCTACGCTGGGATCCCGGGGAATGTGTGTGACCATGGCAAGCACACTCCCTTCCCAACATGGAAACCTCCCTATGATTCTCTAATTAACTTGGGTGAATACACTTCTCAGAGCCAGAATTGGGAAGGAAAAGGACATAATTGAATTATTAGGATATTGCTCCAGCTGACACAAACATCAGAGTCTCAGAGCAGTGTGGAGAGAGCAATGTTGGATTTCAGTCCTGATTCTGCCATTGCACAAGTGTGTGATCTTGGCCAAACCACTTAACCTCACTGAACTCCACCTCCTTTCTCAATTCCTGTCTATAAGTGAAGGATTTAAAATAGACACACAATTTTTAAAAGAGGAGCTTCAACCTATGTTTAAAGGAACTCTTCTTCAGAAGTCAATGAGGACAAGAGATGAAAGCCTTGCTGTTCTGACTGAAGAGGGTCTCAGGGCTTCTCCCGGCATGGGGGTCACTGCCACCAACCCCAACCCCAACGCTACGGGATCAGAGACACCCAGTCGATGATTTCACAGGGGCCTTCTGGATATAAGGTTCAACTTCACCAAACAGATGTTATGCTCTATTTCCTTGTGGGCTTGCATGGACACTGACACTAATGAAGAGATCCCAAATATTCCTGGTTTTACATAAAATAGTTAAATCTTTAAGTCACAAAAGAAAGCTGTTAATTTCATCTCAATTCTAAAGTCATGAAAAAGAAGATGCTAAACTGGGAAGACTCGCACATGAGACTTTAAAATACTCTTTAGCTAAAACACACGAATTCTTTCCCATTTGGCCTCAATGTGTACAACTGGTCCTTCTGAGCCATAATCAGTAAGCTATAAAGTTTTTCTGTGATCTTACC